CTTTGATCTTTCCTCTTTAATAATAATATGAACATTAGATGATAAAATTTTGTTTTTGTCAAGGTCGGCTTTTTTTGTCATCATGCTATGCTCTTTTGTTTACATTTTCGTGGGTGAGTTGTCCCCCTTTCATTCTCACGATGTGTCTTAATCGTGTTTTCAAATTGATTTTATTAAAAAAAACAACTGTATTTTTCCCATTTTCGGCCCCGTTAGAACCACCACAAGGTAATTTTATGTAGTCCTGTGAAGTTTTGTTGAAATCGGCTAAAAAATGTAGGAAATTCGATCCAACATATAAACGTTACAGACACACACAATCTGCGTTTTATAATAAGTAAGATTGCAGGTATTTTCTTTATAAACTGTCCTATTTCATAAGATTCTAGGTAGAACTATTCTGACTGATTACATCAGTCTTTTGTATTGTCTTTTCTAATTCATTTTGGCTTTTGTATTTTTAGATAATTCAGCTTCTTAAACATATCACTAAGTTTTAATAAAAAATACCAAATGGTATGATGATAGGACTTATGTGAACATTTTATGCTATTCCCTATTGCCATAGGTAACTCTAAACCACATAATGTTTACATTTTATGCTTGACTAGCAGTAGTTGCCCGGGGATATAACAGTTAGAGATAGATCAAGTATCCACCATCATAAAGACTGAAAAATAAAATTGACAAAGATTATTGTTTAAGGTTGATGGACACGCATGACTGAATTAGTTGTTGTTTTTTTTGTTTTTTTTTACGAATTGGTCAAACCCAAACAAAAACATTGTTTTCAATCGTTATGAGTCTCTACCGATTGAATAGAATTTTATTATAAACAATTGTCTTGTAAATGGAATTTTTAAAGAATGTAAAAATAAAGAAAAAAGTGTGCAAGACAATAAGAAACACTACATGCCAAAAAAAAAAAAAGGGAAGTTTTGTTGAAATTGGTTGAAAAATGTAGGTAGCCTTTCTGTAATCTTTTAGTTTTACAATTTATGATTTTTACTTATTGAATACAGTAAAAAAAAAAAAATTGCATATTTTGCTTGTGGCGATTCATAATTAGAATTCTGATTTGAATATATTTTCCACTCGTTTCTAATACAAAAAATATTAACTTTATTTGGGTTTATTAATTATGATCTAACAAATCTTATTCATTTAGTAGCCTTTCTGTAATAATAATCTTTTACAATTTATGATTTTTACTTATTGAATACAGTAAAAAAATTGGACACCATGTGTATTTAAAGTAGTTTCCCGTTCCGGTTATTATTTTTAGTTAGGACATGTCTATGTTTAGATTTCATTATCTTTCCCTAAAGATAAAGAATGTTTGTATTCATACAATCAGTAGAGATCGTTAGATTATTGTTTAAGGTTGATGGACACGCATGTCTTAATTAGTTTTTTTTTTTTTATGAATTGGTCAAACTCAAACAAAAACATTGTTTTCAATCGTTATGAGTCTCCCGATTGAATAGAATTTTATTATAAATAATTGTCTTGTAAATGGAATTTTTAAAGCATTGTGAATATTAAAAATAAAGAAAAAAGTGTGTAAGAAAATAAGAAACACTACCTGCCAAAAAAAAAAAAAAAAAAAAAAAAAAAAAGAAGTTTTGTTTTATCAGCTGAAAAATATAGGAAATCCGCTCCCATATTTAAAGGAACCCACACACACAAAGAACCCAATGTGAGTTGTCCCCCTTCCATTTTCATGATGTCTCTTAATCGTGTTTTCAAATTGATTTTGTGCAAAAACAATTATATTTTTCCCCATTTTTGGCGCTGTTAGAACCACCACAAGGTAATTTTATGTAGTCCTGTGAAGTTTTGTTGAAATCGGTTGAAAAATGTAGGAAATCCGATCCAATATATAAACGTTACAGACACACACACACACAATCTGCGTTTTATAATAAGTAAGATATACAAGACCACCTTTGCTTTTGCGATAATTCTTTAAGGTCATATACACAGCAATCTAACTAGAAGTGGTAGATTCATATTATTAAAGGTTCTAAGTTGTGGAAAATCTTTATTATTTTATAAAAAATATTTAAACTATATATATATATATATATCTTTTTGGCATGGCTTTACTCCCATTAACTTTTACACATGACATCACCATGGACTATTTTAAACTTTCAGCTTTCTAAAGAATACTAGCATGTAGACAACAGAATGTTGCCCACCACACAGATAAACCACATTGGTTCTAAAAAAAAAAAAAAAAAAAAAGACTGAGATAGTGTAAAGTACTTGGACAAACCAACAACACAAACATGAACTTTGGACAGTTTATTCACAATTTTGATGCAATACACAACACCTTATTCAAAAATTAGAAAAATACAATAAAACATTAAACAGACAGACCTTGTCTGTCCTATTCAATCAAACTTGTTTGAAGGAATACTTGCTGCCTAAATATACGTTTATATATTACCAAATTTAAATTGTGGTTTTGACCAACAGAAAACATAAATCAACAAATTCTTATGATTGAAAATGTGTTATTTTGTCTTGAGAAGTGAATTCATATCTGCATTAAAAGATATGTCATGTGGTTGCCACTTGTCATGGCTGCCAATGGATATGGTAGATATTTTTGCTTTCAGGGAATATGATTATAAATGCATGGATTGCCTCTGCATATACACATTCACACTGTCTACTATCAGAGTGCAACAGAGTCAAGATGAGTGGCAATAAGACAGAACACAGAATTAGATTAATGCCTTCCTAAGGGTATTTTCCAAAATGTGACTAATGTACTTGCTACCAGAATGTAAGCTATGTTCACTAATCCTATTTACTGAGTCATTAACATATATAATGACACTGTTAATCCATCTCCATTAGTTATTAATTTTTAAATAAGTTTATTAAAAATATGTAATTACATTCAGGTCAGTATTTTATTTTGTATGGCTGTTCTGAACTAACTGCCCCTTCTATAAAAAAAAAAAGCAGTAACAATCAAAATTTTGAGATTCCAGGTGGAACATTTTCCCTAAATTTTTACTTTATTAGAAAAAATAACCACCAATTGAATTATTTACTAAAACAGATTCTTTTTCATTCTCCAATGAACATTCTATAACAGATTATTTATCTTATTTAAGAGTTCTAAAAAGGATCATGTTTATGAATGAACAATATTCTTCCTATTAGTTCTAAGCAAGGCAATTAGGATTGCTTTGGTTCCAAGCAATATATTCAAACCTTAAACTGGATTATACACACTTGGCTTGAAGCAGTTAATAATTTTAAAGATGGAAACATTTTTCCTTCCATCCACACAGCATCAAAATTCAGCAATGACCAATGAAAGCCACAAATAACATCTTCAGTGAGATTTTCAATCATTTGCATAATTGATTTCTTGCACCATTATTTCTGTAAATTTCTTTTTAATGAAGTAATAATTGACAATGTAATTGATTTAGTGTTATTTTAGCAAAGCAGACACCAATTTTAGAAGTCAAAAATATTTAAATTGTTTTACCATTTAACTAAATAGGAGCTTTGTTTTTACCAAATGCAAATTCAAAACTGCTAAAATTTTTGTGAAATTAAATTACAATTATTAACACAAATAGTCTGACTGTAACTAAAATGTAAAAAATAATTTATCAACAAAACACCTTGACAGAAATTGACATGATGTTTGCAAAACAATTCTATCTGTGATAGTTGTAAATTCTACCAAAATATCTATAGACTTTTGTGGAGAATCAATAACAATTGTCTGTCTTGAGTAGAGGTAATCAAATTATCTGAAAAACCATCTGACTGTAGATAAGGGCAAAGTTAATTCCTTCAAAATATAAATAAGTTCAAGTGAAAGATAAAAGCATTTTGTTAGAAGAGAGAAAGAATGGACATGAAATTGTACCAAGAACTAACAAAGAAATCTAAAGATTCAATGAGAGTTTATGACTTTTATATACACTGTGTAAAAATAGAAAGCAGAAAATTCTAACAGCCTTCAAAATATAAAAGATAATATTAAATTCTTTGGACTTAAATTCTTACACTTGACAAGAAGATTTATCTAATTAAATAATATACAACAGTTTTTTTTCATTTCTAAACAATATAAATAGATACAAACAGAAAACATTGTTAGTTAACTAAAATTTTACTCATTTTCAATAAATTTTCCATGAATAATTACTAAAACAGTTCACAATCTCTTCAAAGACTGCTTCCACTTAGCTCAAAATTTAAGGAAAAATGATTTAGTATTTTCAATTTTTATACACATAAATGATGAGATAAACAAAGAAAGTACTGTGACCAACTTAAATGCAAAACAATTTCAAATAACCAATAAATACAATATCCATTGTATTTTATTTGATTTAATAATCAATTTGTATATTTAATTGTGTAATAAAGTGAAAAAAAAATCAAAGAAAACACAAGAAAAATAAATAAAAAAAATAAGATAGTCCTAAATTGAACTTTGTGCTTTGTTACAAGAGTTTGCAAAGAATAAATCAATAAATATACATCCACAAGCATGTCCATTGGTTTGTAATGCACAAAACATGTCTCGATTTTTTTAAAATTTTCTAACACATATGAAAGTCTTCTTAAATTTACAAGCATATAGGACAAGAACAGAGATAATCAAAATTGGCAAAACCTAATGTTATACACTATGGTAAAGTCTATTCCCAGTATTAAAACTTTAAAACACTGCCACATACATGTATTACATAATCTTGAACAAAATAATGTGAAAGATTTGATTATTCATTTGCAAAATTTGTAAAAATTGAAATGAAATGACAAGTGACATTTAAAACTACTTTTAATTACTTTGTATTTATAAATGGAATCTTAAAATTCTAATCAATAATTTACATTTAAGAAAGAAAATAAATAATTCAATTGACATTTCTACCATTATACATTTTATAAAAGATTAAAAAAAAAAAAAAAAAATATCGGAAACTCAAAAGAATTCGGGTACCTACCTGATGTAACATGTAATTCATTGCAGACATTGTCTGAATTTCTTTGGAAACCAGTTTTACATTCACAATGGCCATTTTTTGTTTTATCAATAGCTTTGCATTCTTCATTGGTACCACATATGTTCTTGCCACCAACATCACACACGATGGTACTGATGGTCACACTGCTTGTAGTTATTTCAGGCACTTTAGAAGTACTTACTATCTTCTCTGTAGTTGCGTCGTTTTTCCAAGTATGAACAGCTGAAGAAAAGAAAAAATTAGAAATGGATTATGACAATGATAGGCAACATATAATTATATAAAATCAATATTATATTTATGTAATGTTTGATATTACATAAGAAAATGTACTAAAAATAAAATTCATACTTCATAATTTAGTTAGTAATCTACCTTTAAGGAATTTTATGTGAATTCCATTGATAAAGCAGAATGTTTTGCTCGTAAATTCTCTTCCAATTCTATGCTTGACTCATCTGAAGTCTCTTTGCCTAACTTTCTACTTAGAACAGAGTTTCTATGATATGATATGCATATAACTTCAGCTATTATCTTTAATCTTGATCCTCACAAAGCATGTAGACTTGATGGTATTCTAGGTCTTAGGTCTAGAAATGTACTCTTGAAGTGACATCTTTTCTCTCTACAATAAATGTCTTGCTGCTTCTTGCTTTCCAGCTTGTTGGAAATCCACTTCTCTAGTTCCTGTTTTTAAGAATTCAGGCTAACTATCTGATTTTTCAAACTATCAACTTTATTAGTCTTCTAGCTTCTTTTGGCAAACGACTAAAGGCTTTAATCAATTCAGAATTGTTTAAGCATTACACCCTGTAGGGCCTTCTATGAGACAACTAATATGGCTTTCAGCTCTTTAAATCAAATGCCAATGTGTTAATAGTTATTGCTAAAAGAATCTATAGAGTTTTAAATAAGAATGGTGAGGTTTGGGCTGTTGCTTTAGATATTTTGAAGATGTTTTGACATGGTTTGGCCTGCTGGTCTTCAAAAGTTGAAGGGGTTATGGTGTTTCTGTCTGAAGTTTTGGTTTGATACAATCTTTTTTATCCAATTGTGAAATGAAGGTTGTCATGAACATTCTATATAAATCTTCCAGGGCTCTATCCTCAGGCCAAATTTGTTCCTAATTTTTATCAATGACCTTCCTGATATCATCTGTTCCTGACTCAGTATCTATGCTGATGACAATGCTATTTTACTCCTGTCTTAATAGCATGTCTAATAGATTTAATAAAGTCAAATTGGCATCTTATATTGATAATGACATCCAATCTGTTGTTAACTGGAGCAAAAAAGAAATGGCTTGTTAATTTTAATGCCTCCAAAACTAAACTGGCCCCTTGTAACTGAAATCTAACACTTTCCACTGATATGAATTAGAATGATTATATTGAGTCAATTGCTAGGTCTGCTGCTAGGAAAGTTGTTTCACTGTGTCATGCTAGACAATTTTTCTTGCCAGAATCTATATTTAACTTTTATAAGTCTACCATTCAAATGTGGTAGAAACAGTTATTATATCTGGTTTTGTGTTTCTGCTATCCATCTATTTTTGTCAAAGATTTCTAGAGTCTAGAGATTTTTGACAAAATTCAAAAAAGATTCTGCAATGCTATCAGTCTGGCCCCTCAGCTTCAATTACTTTCCTACCACTTCTGTGCTTTTTCTATAAATATTTTTACGACGATTGATCTGATGACCTTTGCCTCTTTGGTATCTTAACTTCATGGATTTAAGTGTAGTAATAGATTGGCAACTGTGCTTTATCATTTTACTGATAAACTAGCTAGATGCAACTGTATGTTCTATTCTAGTAGTTCCTTCTCTCGCACTTCTCACCTGTAGAACACTCTTCCAGCTTCTTGATTTCCTGTCAACTATCATCTTTAAAAATTTAAATGCAATGTCAATCATTATCTCTTTTTGAATCCAGGTCTTTTATTGTCCTCTCTCTTAATGTTTTCTTAGTTTCTTTCACTCTCAGCAATCCCTTGTATCTTACTTAGGGTTGTAGTGAGAGACAAAAAGTTATCTCCACTTGACCAAACAAAAATAATAATGAAAATTAATTATAAATATTCAGGAGATTTAAAAACAGTCACGTGACCTGACAAGGCATTCTTAGATTGGAAAGTCAATCTCTCTTTTTACTTCATGAGGTTATAGAAACAGGATGTACACATTTCAGGTTCATGACAAATCAAACAGACAAGTGCAAAAATTCATATTGTTTTTGGTATATAGTCTTTTGCAAGTAGATACATGCTAATTATATATATATATATATATATATATTATATACACACACACACACACACACACACACACACACACACACACACAATTGTTTTTATACAAAAAAATTTGTGTCTTATTTGAATTTTTCATATATTTATGTTGTCGTATATTTCATTCACTTTAAACAAGGTCAATGTTTTATATCCTGCACAACAGGGTGAAATGATTAAAAGAAAGATTGTCATAACACTTATGAAATAAAAGTACACCTTAAAATGAATGAACTGCTTTTACGTGTTATCTCATTATCACCAAAAATGAAAATTCTGATAAACAAGTCTGTCTAAAATAATTTTTTAAAATTTATGCAAAGATTAGGACATTTTTTTTTATTAAAAATATATTAGAATCTGAAAATTCTAATTATCATATTTCCTTAATTAAAATAGCTTAACCACAAGCCAATGTTGATGAGACAAAGTTAACAGTTTAGTATATTGTTTAGATGTTACTGAATCTGCTACAAGATGTAAATACAATAGAAATATTTGCTGAACTACTAGCATCACAAAGTTAACCATTTTACTTTTTATAGAAATGTATAACTTGTCTACAGATTTCAGTTTAACTTTTAAGTGCACATATACTTATTCAAAGATAAAAAGAAAAATTAGTCTTACATAAAAAAAATACACCCCAGTTCAATATAAAATAATGAGAGTAATTTGAAGAACTTATGAAAATACTGTATGTGCTAGCAGTAGAGTACCTTTTATATAACACTTGTTCTTGTAGAAATGAATAGCTTTTCTTTCTGCACTCTGTTGTTCTATTTTTGCATCTTACTTTAAAATTTAAGGCATGATCCAATGCTCATAATTGCATCAAGGAGAGATATCCCAAGTTAGATTTTTTTTTTTTTAAGATTAATAAATAAACAATGATGGTTAAAAAAAATGCTGCAATTGTAAATTATGCATAATATAACAAAACTGAATAAATTTGTGTGCCCAAGTAAATCTGTTTATCTCATTTTACTATCATATTCAAAACCTTGTTGTTAATGTATTACAGACTGTAGAGAAACTGCCGGCAGTAAAATCTCCAAAAGAGAAAAAAAGTTTTGTTTCATCCTGATCCATTATAGCTTAATGGGGAATGACAAAAAAAAAAAATATCACAAGAGCAATTATCTCCCATCTTAACTAAAGTGACTGTACAACTGAATTACCTACTAGAGCTAATTTTCCAATAAAGTCATACATTTTGAGGCTAAAACTTGAGTCATCCACACTTATTATAGAAAGTGCAAAATTTATGCTGACTTCAAAGCAATAATCAAAATAAATTATTTTGTTTTATTAAAATATCTTTTACTCAAAAAAAAATGTTATATAATATGGAGATCAATGGTATAACATCAAACTAGAGCTCATAAGGGTGATTGCAGATCTTTCTTTCACTATCTAATTTATAAAAAAAAAAAAATAAAATAAAATAAAAAGAATTTTAAGCTTGGAAAAATAAAAACCGCACAATTTTATATAAATCGTTTTTTTTTTTTTTTCCATTTCTTTTTACTTAAGAGTTTAAATTCAATTTGCTGGTTAACAAACCCACTTTATTTTTTTAAGAAAAAAGGTTCTTGAAGATGGTAACTAATTTTGTTAAAGTTCCTTGATTATTACTTATTTTTAAGAGATTATGAAGGGCTTAAACAAATTTCTTGTCTGAATAGTGTTTTTGTATCTTTTGTTATTCATATTGGGGGATAATTTTTTTTAATTTTTTAGTTCATATAATAATCTAGAAGTTGTTTGTTCAGACTAAATTGTCTGAAGTGAAAGAAAAAACAGCCTATTTCAAATTAAATGTTCCAGATTGTTTATCAGTAAAATTTCATAAGATAAACGTTTTTAATTGAACTTTTAAAAATAAATATGAAATGAATTACTTTTGACAGTATTGCTATATATTTATTTCGTATAAATTTTACAGATGTTCCTAAGCAACAGATTTTAATTAAATTTAGAAGATAGCATTGGAGAGTAAATGACTAAGAATTTTTTTCATTACAATGTTTTAATACTGGCCATGTGTATAAATTACTAACTTGAAAAACAAATTAATACAGCTTTTAAGAGGAAAAGAATCAAAAAGTGCAAATCTTAAAACAGCCTCCTAAGCATTTTTGATACAAAACAAATAGATCTTATACTTTCCCCAGCAACAATGATTCAAAAACCAACATTGCAATCAAATACGCAGTGCTATCCACTCTAAAATAAGAGCAAATAAGAACAAGAATTTAACACCAGGGTAAACCTGATTTTATTCAGACTGTAAAGTTGGTTTGCACTGAAAATCTGTGTACTAAGAAAATAAATAATTACATTTTATATTATGAAAATGGATTTGGTTTGCTTTGTTTTATGACATATCAACCTCAATGGGTCATTTAATGCCGACAACTGGTAATATTTTTGTTTTGTCAAAAATCTATTTCTGTTAATATTTTCCTTCCACAAAAATGCATGGCTGGTAATAATATTTTTTCAAAAACATATAGCCGGCAACACTATTCCTTCAAAAACATATAGCCAGTAATATTATTCCTTCAAAAACACACAGGTGGCAACATTATTTTTTTTCGAAAACATTATCAGAGGCTTTGCTGTTGGACGTAGTCCATCGTCGCACCCAGGACGCGGATGCAGTTTATTAAATTAACTCCTCTTATAATTGTATGCAAAAATACTAAAAAATGAAATAGATTTCTGTAACTTGATAGACAAATTTATTTTGCTCCCAAAATATATTTGTTTGAACAGTAATTCTTATTTCTTTTCAGAATTTCAAATGTTATAAAAATAAAAAATATCAGGCTAGCAAAAAATGGTTGATTTAAATGACTTTTTAAAAAATTCACAGAAAATATTCTTCTGTCAGATGTTAGACATTTAATTCAACTTGGCAGCATGTAG